AGAGTGTTCTTTTTGCCTGGTTAAATAATTACACATCCATGTACCAAGTGAAATTTAGAATGTCCCTCAACCAGTTCTCCAGGACAAATCTGCATACTTCAAAGTGAGCTGACTAAGATGAAATTTGGATGCTATTTTTGAACGGACACATCAAAGACATCATAACTGTGATCGCTTTGAATTGGTGCCAGAGTGGACGTTAGGATGACTGGTCTGGAGTGAAACGACAGACTGTACTTTGTTTTTCACTGAAAACTAATGGTAGCTTCCCTTTCAGTATATTAAATAAAATTTACCCTTAAAAGTCCTGCATCCAAACCAGCCATCGTGGACACACTGTATAGAAACACTTCTCTGTACTTTGCACAAAGCTAGTATAACAGCTGTCTGGAAGACACGTCAGGAACCACTTATATGCGTTAGTACTTACATGAAATTGAGCTCAACTTGTAGTCCTTTAAGCGCATTAATGACACCTTCCAGTTTGTCATCACTAAACTGTCCTCCCAGATCAGAAAATAACAAGAGACGCAAGCCAGTGAACTTTTTCCCTTGTGAAGATTCTTTCAACAGGTCCAGGGCAACAACGAGGGCATCAATGACTTTGTACATGTTCAATTAAAGAAAAAATTACAAGCGATAAGAATAAATATTTATATTTACATTATTTTTTTAGCATCGAAACATTATTGAAAGGTTATCTCGTGATTTTCCAGCAAAGCAAAGCTCACACGTGGCACTGAGATCACAATCTACTGCTATGACCCATCTTTCAAAACACATATGCATGTAACAAAATTAAACTTTTAGAACCCTCATAGATTCACAAATTTATCTGAAATTTCCAATATTTCTGGAAAAAAATCACACTTCTCAACTAAAATTCAAAATTCCTTGGAACAATTTCCTCAAAGGATACAATCTGCAGTGTGCGGGCCTGGTTGGATGTCATTCTTGATGTACTGAATCAAATCTAGATCCACCGGTCCAAGAGGTCGCGCTTCGGTAATGTGCTCATATCCATCACTGGAGAGACGATTGGCAGTTCTTTGAGTTCCAAATAGCACCACACCAAATTCATCCTTAGATTCACTGAATAACTACAACAGAAGGCCAAGAGAAAACCATCTTGATTTTACTCAGGAAGCTCATCTTGATTTTACTCTTGATTTATCTTGATTTTACTCAGGAAGCTGGAGTTGAGGTGAAGATTTTAAAAGTTTGAACAATCTCTGTACACGTTATGTACGAACATGTAACTGGGGTCTAATGATATTGTTGCAATTTCCCACAAAGGTACATAGGTACAACAGGTTCTAGCGATATCAGTCTGGGTCCTGTCCAGATCTCAAATATAAGGCCATCTAGCCAGAGGGACCTGAACGTACGGGTCCCTTCTTATGGCCTGAAATCAATACATTTAAAATGAAAAGAGTCTGAAATCAGGCTTCTTGCTAGGAGTGAGATTTGAGGAAACTTAAAAACCCAGGAAGAAATATGCCTCTTCAGTACAGTATGCAAGTACCTCAATCCTCCATAGTGATCACTTATCGCACCACGTGTACCTGCAGTATCCTTGTTCATTGATTTTCTGATTAATCTGTGATGATATTTATTTGTGTTCCCCTCCACTGCCTCTTTTTCCACCTGATTTTTTTAACAATGAAAATTTTTCAGGGATTTTTCAAGCCTTTGCCAAGTGAAAGATCTCCACCACAATCGATGACTTTAAGGGAATACAGAGCCATTTTGATAAATCAAAGTGACAACTGAGGAACCACACATAAAAAAATAAAATGGCACCCAACAGGTTTGCTGTATATGCTGACAGTGGCATTGTTCTTAATAATAAAAATACACGAACACTTATAAGGCCCCATCTATCTAGAAAACTAATCCAAGGCACTAGAAGACACAGTAAAATCAGGTTGATGACACTTATGAAGTGCCAATAAAAGAACACTTGAACAGAAAAGTTCTCAAGTTTGATTTAAATGTTTCAATTGAGTCCAGTGTTCTGAGATCATTTGGGAGGTTGTTCCACAACACTGGTGCAGTTCTTGGCAGATATGTACACAGTCAGAAGCCATGCCAAGTCCTTGCAGTTCATCACCATACATCCCTACTGCTCAGCAGTATTCCACTGCATTCCAGCAGGAGTAACAGAGGTTTTTCAAGTGACTTAGCATGATGGGCAAAAGCACTTCAGAAAGTGAGTGCATTTTCAAATCTGGGTATGTCTACTGGCAATTTCATGTACAGATATGCCAGAATGTTGAAAGACTTTGAATGTGCACATATTTCCACGCACATCAGTTTAACTTTAACAAAAATCGTGTGACTAAAAATCCTCTATTATAGTATACTGTCATGCAAGGGCGTGCACACTATATGGACTTGCACAATGCACAAGTCCCGCATTAGCTTTTGTGAAAAATTTACAATTTTTTTCCCAAGAAACCAGAAGTCAGGAAAACTTTGGACAAATCTCACCCATGTCTTGCTGAAAAACTGAAGTGGTATCTGGTGTGACATTCATGGAAATGAAAAATTTCCCCAAAATGCACACTAACTTTGCATTTATCTCTCTGAGTATCAGAGAAAAAATTAAACTGGAACATATACAAGTGACCTTGCTCTATCACTATCACGAAGTTAGTTTACTAAGAGCACAAGGTTCAGGAAAAGGGAATAAAGATGCAAACAGGTGCCCTTTCAAAATGCAATCCAGCCTACATGTACATGTACCAGTATGCTGTGGCGACATCTCTACACATGGAAAAAACTGGAGTACGCAGAAAATCAGTCTGCTCTCCTAATGGATTAGGAATTGAATGAATGTCAAGATATCTGAGCAAAATGTAAACCAAAAAAATCATCGATGGAAAACAGAATGCACATGTGTAGAAGCCACATCATTAGTCCTCTAATGTGGTATGCCACAGTACAGTATATACTAGTAGACCACTCTTATTTTACTTACAACTTGTATGGGCAGCCAAAGTTTGCAGAAATATCACCTTTGGTTTGGTTTCCATTTTTGCTTCCAATGCATTTAAAATGGACACTTGTCGCATTGATTTTAAATAAGTTTGTAATTTCTTTTGGTATTTAGTAGTGAATGTATTATTATCTGGCATTCTGATAGCTGCGTGGGATTTTTAACACTTTTTGAATTGTTCTTTTACTTTTGTACTGACGGCCAACCATACTTTTAAAAGCCACTTGTAGGAAAAACATGACTGTAAGGTCAAATGTGCAGACCCTATATTACCAAAGCGTGACATCATTTGAAACCAGAAATGTAATGCAAACGAATGGAGTACGCGTACATGTTGGTTCACGCACTGGTTCCCGTGCTAATGCCCTTTACACATATAACTGTGCATGTGACATAATCACTTCGGTACTCTATATCAATGGTATTTTGGACAGGGTTCTGTGAACATTTATATCATATGTACAGGTATCACAGAAACATGTTCAATTTGTAGCAACAGGAACACGTACGTACATGTACTTAGTATACTTTACCTTCCTTTGTAGGAGCAATGTTATAACATCAATTGCTGACTCCAAACATGTTGCATGGCCACTTGGTGCCTGATTCATGGATGGTCCAACATCTAAGCACAGCAGAATTGCCTCCTATGTCGAAAATGATGTACATGTATGTGCACATTATTAGCTGTTGAACATGTACTGCTGTATGCCTGATGCACATGGACAATGCATGCAGCCATTGCTTTATGTGTTACAAAGCTCGATCAGACGAAACTTCAAAGCTGCCACTTGTTCATTTGACTTAGGTTATTAGACTCTCGGAGGAAGGGCTTTTTTAAATTACCACTTCAGGAAAGGTAACAAATTCAACCTCACTTTGTACTTTCATTGAAGACAATTGAAATTGTCAAAGTGAAAGTTGTTTTTAGGTCAAGCCTGTATTTTTCGATGGACACGTAGACAGAGGTATGTGCCACAGCCCTCCAGGGAATTGTCCAAATATGGCCAGTGATATGACCAGTACTAGCCCCATAATGTGGACAGTCTGGACTGTCAAGATATTGACCAGAATTCATAATGCCGAGTAGGACAAAGGGACTTTATTGGCCTCAACTGGACCGGATGCTGGAATCTATCCACTGTACGATGATCACTCCCCCATGCAATCACTTCATACCAACGATTTCACATTGTCTAGAAACACCTTCCCCAATATGACTCCTTTCAGTGTTTAAAAAGATAACTTCTCATTGCAGAAAACGTTATTTTCACACATTTAAAAATTCAAACGGCAAAGAAAATACATGTAGCTCAAGTATGAGCGATTAGTTGGCCTTCTTAGCATGTTGTCTGGATCACTAACCTAGATCAAAACTCAGTAACAGTGTATAACAGCATGGTTCGTCGTCCGCCGCGCTCCCGTGGGGGGGGTAGGCCTTGGCCACAGCACCCCTAGCCAATTACACCATACCAGTGTACCTTACAAAGTTAAATAACCCCAGAAACTGTGGGGTTTGTCGTTTGCTGCACTCCTACGAACCATGCACGAAAGAAGGAGCACGGCAGCTGACAAACCCACACTTCTTAGAGTTGGCCTACTTGAAGAACTCCAAGTGACTACTATGTGTGACTTAGATGAATTATTATCTTCATGGGGTCATTATGCTATATGTTTTTTAATTGAGCTTTTGCATTAATTTATCCAGTAATTCAAACTCCACTTTTTCAATCAAATTTCCCCGTGAGAGCAACATATGTTACATGTATACCTGTAGTAAAGCTCTTGAAACAGTGTAACAGAGGTTTCAGACCACGTGACTGAATATACTTTGAAAAACCCGACATCTTTATTCACCAATCTCTCATTTCCGCCCGACGACAATCGCCCCGTATGTGTTTATCACATTGTAGATGTGTAAAAACAATGGCCAACCTTGCTCCACATCTGACCATTTTTGGAGGCGGGGACGATTTCTAATCTCTTACAGTCTGCTACAGCTACACAGCGCAGTGCAATGCATATCGGCACATCCTGAAGGCACCAGCTTACAAGTTGCATAAAGACGGTTCTGCAATGAAAACAAGAGGCCTCCCCCATCTCCGAAAGTGGGCAACCGAAGCTTGGCCATCATGGCCAATGTATTGGCCTGACACATGCACAATGTGATAAACACAAATGGAGCGATCATCGTTGGGCATGTCAGGTGGAAACAAGAGCTTAACATCGGTGAGTAAATACATCAGGTATTTGAAAAAACCTCTACTAACCTACACCGTTTTACATATTTTACCTCACAGATGTTCTCACCATGGAGGTTTTTTCATACTTCCATGCTCAAACGGAAAATTTGAATGAAAAAGTGGAGCTTGCGTAACCCCAGACCAGTTATTTGCAAAACTTCAAGTCAAAAACATATAGCATTACGACCTCATGAAAATAACAATTCTTTCAAGTCACACACAGTAGTGATTTGGAGTTCTTCAAGTAAGCACCAAGGCCCTGTTGGCCTTGCATGTCTAATGTTAGAAACATGCAGACATGAACCACCAGAACTGTAACGTTTTTACAAACCTTACAGATACATGTAGCTATGTAAAAACTCACCTTCACACATTTTAGCTGTTTTGATTGTGCCAACTTACCCTTCCATCACAGCTATTTGCGCAACAAACTTTCATACATGCCTTCTTGGTGAATTAGATGTCTGATGGGGAGGTTCATTCACCTTATATCCTCATTAAAATTGTGAAATTATAGGCACTTTGCCCATCCAACACTACAGAAAATCAGCAGCATTCACTGTCAGCTTCAGACACAGTTCCTATCTTTTCCTTGTTGTTTTCCTGTCACCTACAGATGAAAGCCACACTGATGATCCAATTTGCTTCCATTCCAATGACCAATCACAGCTCAGTTTTCATTTTGATGAGGTCAGGAAACAACAAGGAAAAGATAGGAGTTGTGTTGCGATTGGTCAAGCTGTCATGCAGCTGACAGTGATTGAGAGTGCATAAATTTCTGTAGTGTGGATGTAGGCCTACCACTACTCCCAGGGGGTCTGACGTCCGCCCTGCTCCCACAAGGGAGCCCACAGTTCTGTGGGTAGGTGTGGATGGGCAAAATGCTCAAGAATTTCACCATTTGTTGAGGATATTATAAGGTAAATAAACCTCCCAATCAGGCATCTAATAATGTACATGAACTTCACGTCCAACATGTGTCCAAGGCAAATATGAAACTTTGTTCTACCTCCATGGTTGCACCTTGCTGTAATCTGGTGATGGCAGAATAAATTGGCACATTCGAAACAGCCACAAAGTGTTTTTGTGAGTTTGCACATAGGCCTGGCCATCTGTAAGCATGGTAAGGTTTGTATAAACCATGGAGGAAGGAATAGACGACCTTACAGTTCTGGCAGTAGGTCTAGCCATGGAGAAATAAAACACATGGCACGTCACACCACTGCACATAAAGATGGTTTCTAATTCTTTTCTGGCCTAACCTACTCACGTTAGACAGAAAGAAAATTTAACAGTTGAATTAGGCTACTACATGTTATACCTTTTCTTTACCAGCCATGATTCTTCTGATTAAGTGATCAAGTCAGGCCTGACATTCGCGCCCGTACATGAGGAAGGCTCAGTCATGTTCAGACATGTGTATACTGCAGTGCAGTACTGGCTGCCAACCGTTCCGCAAGAGGGCGCTGTTGCAAGCGCGGGAAATCGGGCCTTCGGCCAGGCGCGCGGCCGCGATACGAATGTACCCGAAAGTCTCACGAGCTCCGCCCCAATAAGTAGGCTAGGTTAGTGTCTGCAGATCTGCAGTACCGCCGAGCCGCGAAATACAAATGCAGTGTTTCCTGGCCAACCAAGGCGTCAGTAGACCAGTTGAAGGATTTTCTGCGTAGTTGGTCAAGGTATGTAGCATTTTGTTTCTTTGATTTTTTTTGTTTCACAAATCACAGACACACTCACAGGTTCGTTTCTCGTGCACATGGGCTTAGCCGCACAAATAGGGCTGTAGTCTGGTGGGCCCCCTAGTATAGTGGCTCTCTTTTCAACATGTACAATCTGTCTCTTATCTGTGGTGGTGACAGATAAGAGACAGATTGTAAAAAAAGAGATCCACTACAGCCCTATTTGTGGGGCTAACATAGGCTCAGCCTCAGTCATCGGCGGTCATTTGGTCATGGCCGTCAGGCTGTACCAATGCCGTGGGAGCGTGGCGAATGGCCAACCCCCCAGTTTTGGGGGTACCTGGTACGCCATGATCACTCGGCATCCCAATGGCAATGCCGAAATCCCATGCCAAAGACAAAGGCCTAGGCTTTTGCTTTGTAGATTGTGGCCCATGATGCAGTAATTTTCCCAGTTCCGGATCGCGACAATTAACGTAGACAGGCACATGTGCAGTAACTGTTTTGGGGACTGAGAAATTCTTACCATGACAACTCTAGTCTAAGTCTAGTTCCGTGCCGACATAGGGTGTCAGTCACTTCGTCCTGTTTCCACTTTGCCCCATGTCACCTCACCCCTAGCCACTTCGTCCCCACGTTGCCCTGCTGCAAATTCGCCCCATCCCACTCCACCCCATCTCCACATTGCTTCACCATCACTTGTTGATTGTAACATTTTCCTTAGCAAATTGCCTGAATTTGAACTTTTAATTCGGCTGGGCGGGCAGTCGACATTGCAACCTTCAAAACTAAACCAAAAGATGTTGAAGTTTAGATTGAGAGAAAGTGGCGATGGGGCGAAGTGGAAATGGGGTGATATAGTTAGGGGTGAAGCGGTCAGGGGCGAAGTGGAAATGGGGTGAGGTGACTGTAAATTTGCGTACTCAATAGGTGGGAATCAGACCATTATACAATTTTGGACTTTTTCCCTTTAAAAAAAATCCTCCAGAGCCACAAATCAGAAAAAAAAATGCAAAACTCTATAATTAACTGTTGAAGTCAATTTAGAATTGACAAAAGAATATTCAGAAAGAGTTCCATGCACGAACAACACTAATTTTCCCTTGAAATGTTATTGCAGCCATCAGAAAATGATAAAATGTTCTTAAAAGTGAAATTTTGCTCAGAAAATTCCCAGCATTTACTTAGAAAACACTTAGGATTTCTCAGACAAGTCTCATAGGTTTGTGCACAGGGGCATCAAGTGTTGTCCGCACTTACATGTAGAATTCTTTCTGAATATTTTGAACTTTTGGGGGAAGAAAAATAAAGGGACCATCACTGGATTCTAACCCAGCTGGGATCGTGACTTATGATCCGCTAGACAACAGATGCTACTCGGATTTGAAAGTAAATATTTAATGACCTTTATAGGTTCAGTCATGTATACGCATCAAAGAGGGCACTGTCTACTTGTGGCTGGCTAAATCGGCTAAAGATCGTTTAGATAATGAATTGAGTATGATAAAAGTACTCGGAATCGCACATGGTGAGTGGCATGCCTCCCTATAAATGTTTTGTTGATTTTTTGGCTCTCAAGATTTTTGACAAACCATCTGAACATGTCAATGTGCAAGTAGAAAATCTGGCCGAAATTCTTTCTTTCTAAAATTTTCCTGAAAATGAAATTTGTATAAAAAGCTTACACTTTATCTTTGAAAACAGCATTTGTCTGAAAATGTGTTATCAGAGAACAATGCAAAAAGGTGGCGTTTCTTTTCAAACAATCCGGAATTAGAAGCATGTGGAAATGGGAAAACGACTGTAGTGCAAAGCAAGGAAATGATCGAAACCATTAACCTGCAAGCCAGTTGAATCGATATTTGATAATGGCAGAATGGTAAAACTAAAATCCATGAATATTCTTTACGGGCTAGATTCAAAGTCCAAATCCTCACCACATCAGATCATGCTTAACTACACATGATCTACCACCCAAAACCCTGCAGTCCTAACCACTTGTACGGTAGGGCACTGTACTTCTTTTTTTATTTTAGACTTTGACCGTTGTACTGCAGTAGTACCCCATTATAAAGCCCAGTTTGTGCCAGAGTATACTGTTAATACTGTTACCATGCACTGAGCCCCAAAATTTCCCCCAAAGTTCAAAATGGCCTGCCAGCTTCTCCACATGTCAAAAGGTGAAGTAATATGTCTTCAGTGAGTCTTGCAATCATTTCTTGCGTTGAAAACTGACAAAATGCGACCAAATTCCACTCACACTGCCTGCTGTCAAGCAAACTTTTGGAATGTGCACATAATGAGCTACTGCATGAAACCCTAAAGGAAAACAGTGGCAAACTACGTTGTCAAACCAGTGAATAGAGCACGGATAATTTGTAATTGTCTCTATAATTTTATCATGATTTGCAATTGTGATTTGCAGTGCGGGTGCATCAGTACCAGCAAGTAGGAAAAATGCAACGGATGAGAATCCTGTGGCAGAAAGGATCTTGCCTGAACAAATTCTACAATGCAATTTGCAAGAGATACTCTTCTACCTGGAAGATACTTGGTGCTAATGGTGAGGACCTTACTAGCGGGACAAACTACCATATGTGTTTGTACTTGAAATTGATAAAGCTCTCTTTTTCCCTTTGGTGTCAAATTTCTTCATGTTATTTCTTCGGACAGTGGCCATCATTATAATTTATCAAAGAAGGCAGTGATAGAACTTAATATTTTTTGCACCAAAGTCTTTTTTTTCATTTAGATTAGTGTTTTATCATGTTCTGTTATTTCCCCCCTCCCCATTTTGTTAAGATTTGCTGGAGTATCACCCTGCTGTAGCATCTGCTCTCTCCAAAGATGAACCTGTGGTTGCGTTAGAGAGTACCATCATAACACATGGGATGCCATACCCTCACAATCTCAGGTAACACCAGCCACATGCCAGGCAGTTGTGAAGGTTCTTTCTCTGTTCTCTCAAACAAAGCAAGATTGGTGTTGCATATAGTTGTTGAGCACGATCAGTCCATCATCATGCTGTCTGAAACATCTGACTTTTATCCTCATTTTGTGAAATAATCTTTCACAACATTGAATTCGAAAGAATGTGGAGTTTTCAGAAGGGGAAATTATAAACAGATTATACAAGATCAGGTAATCTTGCGGAAATCACATGATTGCGCAATCGAGCAATCGCGCCGAACATAGTTAAGGCACACATGTGCTGTACATAAGCATGACATTTATCTTCAGAAAATCTCTTATAGAGAAAATTGCTTGCCAAAAAAAAATCAGTGACTTGTGCTTATTTCAGAATTGTGTTTTGTTTGTACATGGACAAAATAACTGTGATGTTCTCATTTTTACACTATAAATGTCGTCACATGTTATTGTTAAGTGTTAGAAAGGAATAATTTAACAAGCCCTGCATCATGTACATGTATACTTATCTGACTTTGCTGACTTTGCTTATGAGCATGCAAAGTTAAATGTTTAATCAAGAAAACTCTTACTGAAACTTCAATTGTATGCATATAACGTGTTTTGAATACTTTAACACCAAATTAAAGAAAAATGCAGACAACACACATGTGTAGATTGGCTTCAATCAATTAACATACTGCTTTTTTCAAAAAGTGTTCTTAAAATTTTTTCCTTTCACATAGATCAAATTGATTTTGCAGATTATTAAGAGCGTAAGATGTTAGAGGGGCTTCGTGAGTGCATGGCATGTGTTTGCTTTTCATAAAGCGTCTTCTAATTTTCCATCTCAATTTAAAAATGTGTCAATCTTTAAACTGTCACAATGTGTATCGTTAATCCTAACCCTACCAGATACAGCACAGTGCATCTGGTTAAAAAGTCTGATGCACTTTGATGCACTGGGCAATCAACAGCAGCCGAACAATGCTACTGTCCAATCTTGTGGTGACTGGCAACCACAGACTTCCAGGCTGTTTGGCCTTGGGGAGAGTTGACCTGTTGGATCTTGTTACACTAGACAGACAAGCCACATAGAGAAATGATGCAGACTGATGTGTGTGGCAGGGCTTCTAGCCAAAGTAGGCTGGAGAGTTAAGGTTAATATGTTCACTACCTGGCTGAAAAGGGCTTGTTTGTCATTGCTGACATTTTAACCACAAGCTACTTAACCCTAACAGTCCTCAGTCCTCCAACAGGTGAAGGATTGAGGAGTGTTAGGGTTAATACAAATAGTCCATGTGTGTCCAGGATGGCTCAGGAAGTCGAGTCCATTGTTGCACAGAATGGTGTGACGCCAGCCACCATCGCTCTGATGAACGGAAAGCTACTCATCGGATTGAGGCAGACAGAATTGCAACATTTAACAGAGTGCTCTGGACCAATCAAAGCGTCTCGTAGAGACATTGCATGGGGTTTAAGTCAGGTGAGGAATGCATGTACATGTTCCTACACACCTCATCATACATCATTCTAAATTGAAAACGGAATTTTCATTTTGGTCAATTGACTACCACGGGTTGGACAATTTGGTTACATGTGAACCAGCGTGTGTGTAGGACTGTAAAAGATGGGGTGGAAATGAATTATGAAACTTTCACATCTACAGGGTATCATCTTAGTTCATTAACCCTAACAGTCCTCAATCCTTCACCTGTTGGAGGACTGAGAACTGTTAGGGTTAAAGAAAATGGTGCCTTTTGTAAAAGCAACATTTTGCCATACTACATGTAACCAATGCTAAATTCAAAATTGGTAAAACTGCACTATGACATTGAAAAGTCAGACCGAGCAGATAAATTAACCAGGTCACAGACCTAGAACACTGGGAGGTGGGCCCGATATCTTGTACATCAGCCCCTGTATAGACCTGAGTGACCTTGTCTTGTTTTTATAAATTATCCATTCCTTCTTGTTTTAAAAGTTCAGTTCTGGCAGTGCTAGGAAATAAGCTGATCAGGAATTGCAATCATAAAATGATTTTGATGGGGAAATGCCTAAAACTGAATGTGTAAGTACACATGTCGATCAAATTTTGTAGTTTTATGAAATCCAATAATGACTCAAGAGAGACATCCAAAGATCTGTTTGACCATCCTTCATACAGACGTGTACATCAAATCATTGATTCACGGTCTTGTAGGTTTGCTAGGCTTTGGTACTGTTTGTAATGAACAATCATTTGCTTATATGTTGATTTATAGGGACTTACAGGTGGTACCACAGTGTCAGGCACTATGATTGGGGCTCATCGTGCTGGAATACCTGTGTTTGTGACTGGAGGAATCGGGGGCGTCCACAGAGGAGGAGAAATAAGTTGGCTCATTTTTATCTGCCTGATTTTTCTGTGAATAAAGATGGGTCAGTTCAGACCAGCTCACTTCCTTGTTAAAAATGACATCACACCTCTGTACTCTATAGAATGCTCCTTTCACAAATAATCATAAAAAAGCTCCTTGACCTCTTCTCGGTGGGAATTTCTTTCTGAAAGCTGACTCCATGAATTCAAGCCTCACTTGGCCACAAAATCCACCTGCCAAACCACAAGTTCTTGGTTTGTGGCCCAGCATGCTCTGCACGCTTTGAATTACACAGTGAAAAGGCTGATTGTTCGGTGGCATGCGGCTCTACTGAAGCTTCCACGTAACCGTTGCCTCTTTTCAAAGTGGGGACTATTGTGAAGCTGGTGATTATGATGCAAATTCGGTCTTTTCATTTCTGGGTTACACACAAAGACCAATTACCATATACACAAGATCCAGGGTCTGCCTTCTTTCACTGTGTTCACTCGAGCGTGGGCCGAGAATAATAGCTGAAAAGCGGGCTGAAGATCTGAGTTTGTATGGCGTGTTTTAACGAGTCCCGGCGTGAAGGGGTTAAATGGAGATTTGCACAAACATGGCCTGTACTGCATAAGGTGGCACACAACAAGCCAGTGACTTATCTAAGGTTTAAGACCAGCCTTATAACGGGCTCTCAACCAATACAAATGGCTAAATTGACTCACTGAGTATTCAGTCTATATGCTACGTGTACGTCAAATAGTCTGCGATCAGTAAAAAAAAGGACCATGTTATAAAAAGATACTGTGGCATGCATTTCTTATGAGAAGCCACATGGTTCAACCACATAAGGAACAGTATTTTTCTTGGTTTCTCTGGCACTTTTAAATAGGAAACTGTACCCTGGTAGAACAGGAGCACACATGTACATGTTCCTCAAAAAGAGTCCCTGAATCTACCCATAGTAGCAAAGGTAATTGTGCGTGTTCATTAATTCTCATTGCTGAAATAAAACTCATCTTTATATTTTATTGATTGTCACAGGTATGGATGTTAGTGCTGACTTGACTGAATTAGGCCGCACTCCAATGGCAGTAATTTCAGCCGGCATCAAGTCGATATTGGATATTCCAAGAACCCTGGAATATTTGGTAAGCATGGAATGAAAAAGGAGGAAGTTACATATTCCAATCCAGCACTTTCATGCGGCATCAAAAGTTGCTCACCAAAAAAAAAAAAACCGACTTGAAAAGATCATACTCTATACTGTAACTGGATAATTAATGTTTTGGCATTTCAATTAACGTATTTCTTCCCATTGAAGAACCTTAGATGCATGATATGTTGCTCACTCAGAAAAATAGTCAACACATCCACACCAAAATCCAGGTTTGCTAGTAAACGGATCCAGTAAACCGGTCCCACTACTCGCGTGGGTACTTACGACATGCTCTTCTCCAATGCCACACTACACATTCCAGCCGCAAGTGTCACACGCACAAATGTCATATGTTGGACTTTTGGAACATAAATCACAGTTGTGATTGGTGAGAAAGCAGTGGGGCTGGGCATAATGGATTGGTCTATTGCAACATGCACTATTCAGTAGCATCAGTTATTAAAAAAAGCTTTGCATTGCCCTAACAGCTAGTAGCAGGTACCATATAGTAATGACCCCTAAACATGGAATCAACCCGGCTTGGGCTTCGTCGTAGTAACCATGAAACACAGTTCTGTCTGTCATAAGAACAGGATGCTTCCTGTCTAGTCTCCATTCCAGCATTTACCACTGAATGAATCATTGGGCAAGTTCAATCAAGCACCATAGTTAACTATAGTTCAAGCAACTCTGATCAAACACACACAGTAGTGGTTGGACCAGTCTAGTCAACTATTTGCCATAAACCATTTTTAATAGCACAGTGCAGAGAGGACCAGTTATAAGAAAAATGCCAGAAAATATGATGCCACAAGTAAACGACCATTTTCACCCTTTTTTTGCTATTTTGCCCTTCCTTCTACCACCAATTCTCCCCTCCAGCCCAACGACATGACAACGGTTGACTAGAATCATTTACACTTCAACTTCACTGCACATGTGCTAGGTATGTCACAAACCAAACGCTAGTTAATTAGTGGTCTTTGATTGAACTTGCCTGTGGTTTTAAGCAGTGGTCTGCAATTTTCTGTTACATGAGTAGGCAGTATAATTCAGGAAGGAGCTTGGTTAAGACTCTTACATTCAATCTTTTTGGTACATGTAAGAGACAAAACTCCATAGAACACCCATTCGTGATGCGAATTTTCCAGCTGATATGAAGTGTCATCTAACTGTAGCAACCATTGAGGGTCATGACCTAAGTGAGAGCTTATGCTTCACATGTATAAAGGACAATTGTTTCAAGTGCTGTCTGCATTGAAAAACCTCATCTTTTTTATTTCCGCATCTACTTCATGTTATAAAGAGCTTTCCACACTAGTGTTTTTAAGAGATGACTGTATCTGTGCTTTCCATCCTTAATCCCAGGTTTTTGAAGTCAATCACTCTTTCTACAAGAACTCAAATACTGATTTAAAAGTCATGTACTCAGTGTTCTTAGCATAAAA